CTGAGGGGGGGTCATGCGATTTTTAAATGGTGCTTCCCAAATCCCACCAGCCCCCCCTCCCTCATAAAAAATGAACGGTCCCCTAATTGTTTGATTTTGTAAATTTATTATTGTGGTGTGTAATTCATGAGTGTAATTTTGCCTGAGTCTTGCGATTTCGCGATTTTTGGAAATTCGCGGAAAACGCGAAAACCCTAGACTATCCCAGTCTCACAACAGTTCAAGTTTCCCACTGTTCTTGTCCTATTCCCAACTGATCCAAGACCATGTTATCATCTTGATTAAAATGAGACTGCCTATCAAGTTCTGTCTCGAAAGTGACTGCAAAAAAAGTGCCTCACGAATAGAATGTACCGGTTACACGACAGGTGGATACAAGTCTCCCCATCTAGCTATTCCACGTAAATTGTAACCTCCTTAGAAATACTCGGCAATACAAAAGTATGCAAGTAGTGCGGTGCAGATCACTGGAACATTTAATTTGAAGAGGAGCATGTGCGATACAATGAAAATTCAAATTTCCTTTGTTACTGTTGCGGCGTCTTATTTGTATTGCTATATCTTTGGCAAAGAAGTGTTATCATCAAACATTTGATCTGAACGAAACATTCAACATATTTTAAATTAAAGAAACATGTTTCCTCCACTTGACATGTAGTTCACCTTAGTTACGGTCATACTGGAGAACAAATGCCCTACAGCTGTTTGCAGCTATAGACCTTACTAGAGAGAAATAACAAGACAAAAATGGAGACATTTCGCTCGTCAATTTAAGAATCCCTTTCTTCTCTTATCATGTTCCGCGCAAACAGAATTGCTTTCACGGTTACGATCAGATTGCGATAAAATTTTCTGACTTTTTCTGTGTTTATCTTTCCGGTTTTCTAGGCCGTTTCTTTAGTCAATATTCAGTGCTTTTATTCAATAATCATATCCTAATAACAGCGCGTCCTTTATCTCAACACAACAAAGAGGGCTGTTCCAGTCTTTTTCACCTTTTGTTTGAAAGTTTTCTGCTTGAATGAAATCCTCTTGCTTGCGCCGGAAGTGATGCATGACAGAGGGGCGTGGAAAGTTGTGGAATGTTCGATTAAAAATCCAAAGTATGAAATGAAAGCACTTGAACTTTGACGTATCCGGCGAAGTAAAATTTACATCGAAAAACTGTTGTGTTAGTCTTGGTGTGGTCATTGATTAAGCCGATTTCTTGTAACGTTTGCTTAGATATTGCGATTCTCTGGTAAAATTTCGCGGCAAAAGGCAACAAACACTGATTGTCAGGTCACGAACCTCTTGACCAATTACTTTGCTCGATTTACGTCACGTGCCTTGTAAGTGATATGGTCGTTGTGATACAGAAAATGGCGTCTGTATACTCCGGTTATTGTATCTTCGTGGAGAAGAGCAAAACACTTGAAAATTCGACGTGTTTCGCAATACGAGTTACCGGCAATGGGAAAGGAAAGGTAGGTTTTCCGCTTGCGCTTAGAGAAACTACCTATTTTAAGTGAAACATGTTTACTCTTATTCTGGATGGCACGAAAGTTGTTTTCCGCACCCGAAACTGTCCCGTATCGACCCGGCCGTACACGACGTAAAAATTTGCTCTAGCTAATTACAGATTGTTGAGCTTCTCATCGTGAATTAAGGATTATTTGAACAAAAGAGGAAAATTATTGGTAGAAGGTGACGTTATCCAGTTGCATGAAATTTTTTTTACAGGGGATTCAGCGAATGTTTACAAATGGATTCGTCGTGATTTCCTTCACGAAGGAATACAGGTTTTCGTAACCTGAGTAGAGTTCACAACTTTTCGGACGGATGTTACAAGCTAAAACGCGTATCCTAAATCTTTAGCCACACTACCTGAAGAATCATGGATCTTTTTTTGGTGTTTCAGTTGCTCAGGTCTTTTGGTTTCTAAGAATAAGTGTAGTTTACGATTGCGAAGGTCAAGTTTTATTGGCAATGAATAAACTGGGCTTTGAGGTTGCATTATTTTAATCGAATAAATGCGCGATCGTTTAGTTCGGTGTCTTTTGAACTAAGACTTAATGATATTGATTTGTGTCCCTTTTTAATTTTATATATTGGCTGCCTTGCAAGGGAAAGATATACGTGTACGATTGTAACTTTAAGATTAAGGAGCGTTGATTCAGATAATGGCCTCCCATGAAGGAATTTTCCACAGGAAACTGGCAACTTTGAAAGTTTGTCGGCTGTGAGCTTAAGTACAATTGAAGTTTTTGTGGTTTTTTTATTATATTGAGAAAGTTCCTTGGCGTGTAAAAGCTTGAATATCACTCTTCGATCAGGGTATTCTAGTGCAAACTCATTGAATTGTAGGATCTGTCATTCATAAACATGTATGTACGAGTTGTACTTATGAATGAAATGATCAGATCCTCACATATTTTAGTGTTATCTTGTGAAGCTGCTTATTTTTCCGGTAATAGCAGTAACATGTGTTCTGAAGGATTTATGTTATAGTGTTACAGTGTAGTGTGCATACATGTAGTAGTGAACACGAACCTTGAGTTACACATACAGTATTATCATGACAAATAAATAACTATAGGAATGTACAGCAAGTTATATAAGCTTGCATGTACAGTACAGTACAATTGTCAGGTTGCTATTTATGGGCATGAGGATAATAATAAACTCAAATCAAATTGTACATGTGATAAAGCTTATGTGTAATATTCTTTAAATATCTTTGAAATGATGCTAAAAGAGTAAGTAACTGGTTTGCAGTGTATATTAAATAATTCTAGTTAAACAATAATAAAGTTTCCATGTTACCCACATATTAGGGACAGAACATTTTACAAGCATTAGCAAAATGTCTAAATAAGAAAATTTTTTGTAATAAGATAATTGGTTGTTCTTCAGCGTCGTGAATTGTTCATGTAGAGTCCTTTCCTTCTTGGGAACACAAAAATGCGAAACTGCATCTAGCTTTTGTTTAATTTTTTGAGATGTGGTTCCTTGTAAGAATTGCGAGTGTCTTCTTACTAATTAATAAAATGATGAAATAAAATAGTGTCTGGTAACAAATATATCAAAAGGTACAAGTTTAAAAACTAAGTACATGTACCATTACAATAAATACTATGACTATTACAAATTATTAAAAAAACTATGAGTTAATAAGCCATTTCCGAGTTGCCCTTACCTCTGTTTCAAAAAAGAGTCTCGGTGCACAACCTTCCATGTGGAAATGAGTTTTCCTTGCACATTTATTGTCTTGCAATTTAAATTCATTTCCACATGAAAGGTTGTGCACCATGCATATGACGTGTTTTCAAAAAGAGGTTAAAACCTTCTTGGAAAGAGCTCATTGCTTTGTTATATTTCAAAGCTAATGTTTTGATAATAAAAGATTATTCTTAAAGGTGTCAGTATTTAATTGTGCCAGCAAAATTGAAGAGGCTTTTTGCTGACGAGTAGTATGATCCTGCTCTGGTAGTATGTTATGCAGGGGGTAGTCTTAGTACTGATATTTTTGAAAAGTTTCCACTCGGCTTTCTAAAGTAGGTCATGTACAGAGTATACTAATTGACTCTGAGATATAATGCCGCCTAGTAGTCATAAATGTTAAGAAAGACAGAAAAAGAAAAATTTGGCAGCAAAAGAAAAATTTGGCAGCAACTCGCCAACCAATTTGAGGGGAAGAGGTTAGCAAAGGAATGCTGGTATGTTACATGGACCTGTTTTGATGTACTACATGTACTTGTATGTCTGTGGTTGTTGTCGAGATAGTTTTTAATACATTAAAATAGAGAGACTTGTGCTTTTTTCTGAAATTTTCAGTTTTAAACTGAATTATGTACGCACAATAATAATTGTGCATACATATTTTAAAACATTGTTTCTTAGTACCGGTAACTCTTTTCTATCATGTTTTATACAAACAATGTGATGCTAAGGACTCACAAGGTACAAACATTAACACTGTTCTGAAAAAAAGTTAACCAAAACTGCCACCAGGTCTATGGCAGTGAAGCTGGTTACCTGTTAGTTGAGAAGAATTGCTCTTTTGTCAGTTTGTTGTTATTCAGTTTGATTGCTGTCAAAACATTTTGAGGGATTGCAAGTGTTGAATGACAGACAAGAAAATGGCAATGACTCTTAGTTTATGAGCTACTTTACATGTTTAATGCAAAACATGGAAATGTGTTTTGACAATTTATGACAGCCCAGACTATTACAAATTTTGACGTGTTAAGTGTCAATTTTACTTTGCACAATTTGTAATCATTGTGTTTAATCACAGACCATGATTCATGTAACTGTTAAATTACAACTTACAACAGGTATTACAATGCATGAGAACTCATGACAGTTAAAACTTAAGAAATGAAAGACAATGCTGCGGTCACATTTGAGTCATTTGTTTCCATGGGAACCACTTTTTTGGTATTGTATTTGCCATGTAAAGGACCATTACAAAAACATAATAAAAAACTTAAACTTAAGTGGAAAGGAGACCTTAAAGAAACTAGAAAGCCTTTACGGCACGTTAGGTGTTTACCTCTCAAGTTACAGTACACATACATTTATACACTAGTTGACTATAAGGTGTAAAGGTAAACTAAATGATATATATTACAGTTGGAAATTATTGGGTGTCATTCGTAGTTTTTCAAAATATTAGAGCTTTCTTAAAGAACTAAAACTTACAGTTGCAGGAACAACAGACAAATACTACTTTGAGTACTAATTTGAAATGTAATTTGTAACATTCTTATTAGTGAATCTCTGGAATGTATTGTGAAGAAAGTAGGTTGTCCATTGTATAAGTAGTACAGGTGTTCTACTGAACATTGATACTTCAGGAAACCACCACATTCAAGACTGTTTAATATCCTTGGGAATGGTATTGTATGTGACTGACCAGAGTATTTTTTTATAGGTAAAAGGAATTCAATGCCCCAAGTGAGTTCAACTGGGCTATGTAAAGGTACATTGGCACAAACTCAACAAGGAAAGGTTTTGATTTAGTGATTTTAAAATGAAGGACAATCCCAAAGTGGAGAGAAATGGTAGTACTGAAGAAGCCAGCACTCTTGAAGTGCTGATCTCTCTGCCAGACAAAAAAACCCAGGTGAGGAACTCCTTGCTAGGATGTATTTTTGTGGTGTGATTTGGTTTTAGTAGTTTGAAACGTTTCAAAACCAGTCTTATTCATATTTTTTTCATTGCCTCATACATGTACATGTATTTATCATCATAATCTGAAATGAAGAGTGGTATATATGTACATGTACACTGTACATGTGAGCCAAACTGGTTTAAAAAGTTTTTAACTGAATAGAAATTTGAAACAATATTTATTTTTCTTGTAATCCAGTCTTTTTTTTCTGTTTACACTCATTAACTTTATGCTCTTTTGTTATATATGTTCACATGGTGGTATTTTTACAAGAAACCGCAGCTGGTTGATCAGAAACACTTTTGAAACCCATGCTGGGTAATCATCATCAGCCTATGAAATTTAATTCTCATGCGTTTTAAGCTTTGCATACTTGGTGAACATTGTTATTAAATCCCTAATATCCAGCTGGGGTCATTGTTCTCCTAGCTGGGAAAAGGTCAAGATACGGTACATGTAATATAATGCTTCTGATTGTCTGGACCGGAATTGTGATGTGACTTAAAGACCAAAATAATTCTCCCAAGGTCAATAATTGAATATGTTTAGAAACAACAAGGCTAGTTTATCACACATTGTAACTTTTAGTCAACGCTCACATTGTACAGTCATGTACTTGTGCGCAATCATGTACTCAATGAATTTGATTTTGATTTTACAGAAGCTTTATCATTTTGATGTACTTGACAAAGTATGGACTGCCAAGCTACAAGTGGTTAATGAGCTTATTAAGGTAAGGGCTACTTAAAGTGCATTTGTGCGCAGGACACAAAGTGGCCAAGCTATGAGATTGGAATGTTTTTGTTCTCTGCACACATGCACAATGGAGTCCTATTGACTTTGTGGAAGTGTGTGATAGCCCCAGACAAACCGACATTCTGTTGTTTAGAGAGTGACAAATCTTCATGTTTTAAAATTTTGAATATACATTGTACATAGTGTGTAATTTGCATAGTAGATGTGTGTTGCCTGTCTCTTCTTTTGATTAACTTTTCGATTATCAGGTTAAGTTCTAAAATCCTTGTTGGATAAACTTCATAGGGTGTTAAAGATGCTATGAATTATGGCTTTTATGACCCTCCTTGCAATGGAAAGTCGGGGAAGTTTCTTGAAGAGGAAAGACCATTTGTTGATTACCCCTTGTCAGGTTCTCCTCCAGTTCTTGAGGTATGTAGCAAACATGTTATCGTGTAAAATTGAATCTTTAAATTTGGAACAATATTTTTTTCTTGTTATCATGGAATATTATTAGAAGATTTTACAGGTGTAGGTAGTCGTTTTTTAACAGATTGAATATTTTAGCTTGGCTCCAAGGCTTGGGGATTTAAAAGAAATTGCGGTTGAGGTTTTTCATGTAAATATTAAATTATTCCCTTAGCTCTATTTCTGTTAGTCTGAGAACCAAAATAGAATATTCATATGTCAAACTTGGCAAATCTTTAGGGATATAGAGAACTATAGTTTATGTCAGGCTTAACTAGATTCCTGAGAGACCTTCACAAATTTGAGAGTAAATGCCTTACAGTGCCTGTAGGTCATGAACAGGCTCCCAGGGTATATAGGTAGAAAAACAAAAACACAAACAAACAAACAAACAAACAAACAAAAAAACCCACAAAACAAATTGAATAACTGAGTGAGCCGTGCACATTCTTGAGATCTTCCCATCCAGTATGACAGGTGGTGGCCTTCAAAAACCGTGGGTCTTGCAAAATTTTTAGTGGTTTTGTGTCTCGCAGTCTCAATTTTTTTCACAAAGCTGTCTTACAGTCTCGACTTTTTTCAAAGCTAAGAAAGTCTATGTCTTGAGCTTGCATTTAAAACACTCTGAAGTCTTGGTCTTGCAATTAGAGAAGTCAAAATGTGTCGGGCTCGTAGAGAAAAAAGTTAGTCTCACAAAGTCTCGCATTTACCATTCACCACCCCTAGTATGTCCTAAAACGTGTTCAACTTGCCAAGGTTTTTCATCCTCACCAATTTGTTTTGCCCTGTAGTATACTTGACTCATATCACATAGCCTGGGGCAAGTGGATTTTGCAGTCAGGCTAGCAGATTCTTTCCTCTACTTATGTGCTTGAAGTGTCTTAAGGGGTGACAATGTCATACAAATCTAAGTTGTATGTCTTCTGTAGCATTTTATTGTGAGAGGGTACGTTAATATGATAAGTGCGGGACTTGCATTAAAATACATTGTGACTTTCAACATGCAGATAGTAAAAGTGTTTATGCTACATATAAAAATATATGTTGTGGGAGTTGTAAAGTTACTTTACTTATTTCTTTAGTTTAAAGTCAAAAGAAGAATTTACCGTTCTATGGTTTATGAACAAAAAACTCTACAAAAAGTTAATGCAAAGGTGAGGTGGAATAGAGTTGGTTCTTAAAATTGTTTTATTGTATGTACAGGTATGCTAAACTTGTATTCTTCAATTCATGTTTAGCTCATCTTGAATGGATTTCTGGTACATGTATAGGTACATTTACATGTAAGACCATAACTTTTATAAGGTGTACAGTGGCCTGATGGGCCACTTGGCTTGTATACAGACTACATAGTCCAAGCTTTTAAAGAAAAGAAGTATTGTTCACCAGGTTTTACATGATACATGTTGGTTATCTGTTTGAGTTTCTACTGCTGGCCGATACAGACAGTGGATATATGCCAGCTAAAACAAATTTCACTAGCTTGTTGTACTAGATAGATAGATAGATAGAAACTTTATTAAGAATGTCATCAACCACCTAGCTGGGGAAAAACTCCCCTACTAATACGGGGACATAACAAAAACAAGTTAAAAAAAAAAAAAAAAAAAAACCTATAGTCACCGTTATACCGTCACACCGTTAGTCACTCTCAATTTGCCCTGTTAATTAATGTTTACAATGTACGTTTCTTTCACCAGCCAAATCAGCGAAAGTTCATGGAGTTGGTCTCTTCCAATGCAGTCAGCCAAGTTGCTAAGATGGCAGAAAGAGGAATTGATCCTAATTTTCATGATGAAAGATCTGGAGGTAAGTTGCAGAAGCAGAGCATTTTTACTATACAATGTACATGCACATGTACAATACAGATGAGTGCTGCATAAAAGTTGGACTGATCAGCATATGGTAAGCACTCTGCTTCCTGACAACCAACCCAAATTTTAAGGGAAAAGGATTGGCTTACATTGCTACTGTTTGATTTTTAGAAACTCCACTGTCTGTGGTAGTGACCAAAGACAATGCTTGTGAAATGATAGTCACACTGGTGAATGGTGGAGCTTTACTGGACTACAGGACGAAAGAGGGGTTGACACCTCTTCACCGAGCAGCTGCCTCTGGAAAGGCAATGTCTGTGAAGGTATTATAATGTTCAAATGTTTATCTGTGTTATTTAGTACTTTTTTAGTGGTTGACACTGTTGAAATCTTTTATTGTTACTTTTATTGTGTAGACTCTCTTAGACTTTGGAGCTTCACCAAATTACAAAGACTTAAAGGTAGGGATAGATGAAATTAAATATGATATACCCTGATCATACATGTGCAGTTGAACCTCACTATTTTGGACTTGATTATTGTGAACTCCCTGCTATCTCGAGTTCAATTTTTTTGTACTTGAATATACTTTTCAGTCATTTTACTGTCAGCTGCATGTATCCCGAACTCTCATAATCTTGAACTTTTTTCATTTCCCCCTAAAGGCCTCTAGATTGTAGGATTCAGCTTTTAATGTGCTTGTGCATGTAAAGAGCTACATACATGTATACCTCACAAAAGAGACAATACCAAGTATTTCTCTTGACAGAATACTTTTACGTATAAATGTATCTGTTGTGGAGCTAATGTTTACATGCAGCTAGAAGAAACTGAGAACCTGGTCCAGTCTACTTATTTAATAGTTTAAGGACTATGTTCATCATTGGAGACCAATAATGGTGTACGTTCTTTGGAGGACATGTTTAAGATGCTGTTAAAATACATGTGCAGTGAAGGCAATCAGTAAATGTATCATACATGTGTATTTAACAATAATATTATTCCACGAGTGTGTGTTGGATATGAGACAGTAATGAGGTTCATAGCACCAAATGCATAGTGCGCAGTGCATAGCCAATGAGGTGTTTAGCACCAAGTTGGCTTTAATCATCTAATATCCAACAAGCGCAAGTGGAATAATTGTTTCATTAAAAACGCTCCCAAAACATAGAAAACTAAACTAAACTAAAAATGAAAACACAAAAAAATCCTGAGTATGCTTGCCATATTTGTAGAACAAGTCATGGTATAATGGCTCATAACCCATGATGGCTAAGCCAATGAAAACTCTCAAATTGCATTATGAAATGATCCAGTGGTTGATAATGTTACATGTAGTCACTGAAAGAACTAAGCTGGACTGAGCTAAGGAATACATTATCTATTGAATTGCGAGTTTTTAATATGCTGTGTTAAGTACAGTGTAGTGCACATGAGTGAAGTTGATGCCATTTTGAATTGCCTTCCTTGTAGGGTCTCACACCATTATTCCACACTGTACTACATGGGGGTGACCCGTACTGTTGTGAGATTCTGCTCAATGATCATGCCGAGCTTCACATCTCTGATCATCAAGGCATGCAGGAAATACACTTGGTGAGCTATGCCCTTTATTAACAATTAGACCAGGAGCCTGAGTTTTCTACATGTATTAGCGAATAGTCAAGAAGGTGTAGCTGAGTTGACTATTTTTCATAAAAAGGACAAGTAGTTGAATTGTTTCAGTTGACAAAACTGCAATGTGTGAAAATAATTTTCAGTTTCAAGAGAAGCTAATAAGCAAATTGTTGTCTATCGGCAAATCAAAACAGCGAGTGAACCCATCAGGATACGTAGATTTCCAATAGACCACAGCTGAGTGGCTACTAAATGATAATTATATTATGAGCTTCAATTTTCCTTCTTTAGTGTACCAGGGAATTGAATTATCCAGTTGTATTTCTACATTTTCCTCCAAAACTCTATGATAGCTCAACCTATTCCATTGCCGCATTTGCTTTAGTATATTGTATACCAGTAGGATTGTTCTAATTTAGACTTCTACTGGTATCCTAAATGAATGCAATGCTGGAGATACGTACAAAATGGGAACGTTTTCTTGTCTTTCCGAAGTTTTGAAGGAAAATTTAGAAACATTGCTGGTTGAACAAACAAATTGCTGAGAAAATAATTAAAAGAGGGATACTTACTGTTATGTGGCATTAAAAACTTGAATTCCCTAAAAAAAAAATGGTGAGTGTACATACTCTGGTATTTGGAAATAACTGTTACTTCAAGGAAGTTTAGTTAGAGTTCTACCATTGAAAACGGTATTTATAATTAGTGTAAAGCATCTTTCTCAAGACTCCACGTTTGATTTATTTTTGTTTCTTTCCAAAAACCTTTTTTCAAAAATTTAAGTTGCCAAACTCGGGGTACGGCTTATCTGGAAGTGCGGGTTATCTGCTGATGTTTACGGCATTCATTCTCAATTTCTATGACAGGAAAGTTGACTCGGCCTTTTGCCTCATCAACGTTACCTCATAGAAATGTCAGTCTCATAATCTAGTTGTTAATTAGTGGTATGTGGCCTGCCAGTGTAGAGATGTAACTCAAATTCTGGCATTATTACCCTGAAAGCATTTGCAATCACTTCATGCTCGCAGGTAGGTTTTGTCAAACCTTTCTTCTGGAATCTACCGGTTCGTCATGCATTGCCGGTGATTGTATTATAGGACCTGAATTGTTTTATTCATTACCTATCAGGCTTGTAAAAATGGTCTTGTTCAACACCTGGAGCATCTGTTGTATTATGGGGCTGAAATCGATGCTCGCACAGCAACAGGAAACACAGCATTACACGTGGCAGCATTAAATAATCAGGTAACTCCGTCTTGCACCCCTTTAGTCCCTGATGACCAACATCAAAATTCTCCTTACTGATGTTTAAAAAATTGTCTTGTTCATGTGCATAACAACTCTGGATTTATGAATCAGTATGGAGCCGATTGATTCGATGCTCAGTTAAGTTATGAGATTTGGGAGCAATGAAGTTGGGAGGGTAGTGTGCAAGCAAAACACCAAAATATGCAAGTACATTAATACTGTAGCGAAAATCAAGAACGTCTGTGCAGAGAGGGGGTTAATGCAAGATACACGTTCAATTAACATTTTTTTCTGTTTTCTCTCATGGTTTTTACTGGAGAGACAAACTATGAATCCTTGCCTTTAATGTGCATTTAAAGATTTCTCAGGAAATGGATCGTTTTCACGTGACGTCGTCACATTACTATTGGTCTACTACGGAGGTACATGTGCAGCAACAGGGTGTCTCCATGCTGAGCTCTGTAAATTTGCATGAAACATTTTGACAAATATCTGAAGTTTGGTGTAGCGCACAGACTTAAAACTTAGAGAAGGTTCTCCTTTATTTATCTTCTGTAAGATCGCATTTTCTTGACTTTCATCCACCAGATTATTTTTGAATCATTTATATTTTTATTGTGTGACAGTGAAAACGATCTTTAGTTATCGTGATTTAGATTCAAATTCTTTTTAGTTGAATTATAAGAAATGTGCTATAAACAGTAAAGAGAATTTTGGGACTGATCTTGGAACTTGGGACTGATTTTGTAATTTGAAGAGTTCAGTCCTTGTTTATAGTATAAAGGTACTTAACTGGTTGAAAGTCTCTGTACTGTGTGAAACAAACTTTAGCAAGCAAGGTAGTGAAACAGCACCGCAAAACAATAGAGTCCTTGGTTTCTAAGCAGGTTATGTATAAGTAAACCAGTATGGTTAAATAAGCATTCGGTGAATTTTCTTTTGCATATCAATAATTGTGGTGTTTTCAGTAAGAGGAAACCCTGCTGTTCAATTTCAATAGCCTTTGTTGTGAAGAAGCTTCAGCTTGACCTCCCAAGAGGTTGTGTTTTTGTCTGCCACTTGAATTCTAATTCCCTTGTTTTCTTTTTTTCTTTTCTTTTTTTTAACGTTCGCTTGGTTAAACGAAGTTCTAAATTTAACGCTGAGCGAATTAATGATCGCTGGCCAATAAAACTTCAGTTTTGATTATCACCTGAAATTCGATTAGAAGGAAAGATAATTTTCAGAAGAGGTTATTCATCATGCATAATTATTAGACGATGGTTTTTTTGTTCCCTTTTTAAATGTGGTTTTGTTTAGACCGCCGTTCGTTTTAGTTTGCTAACACATTAATGAACAAATATAAGCGTTTTATCCAATAGGCAAGCGTTTTCCAACACCTGACTTTATAATGTGACTGATATGATCTATTTTTGGCGAGTCACATTTTGTATATTCATGCACGGACTACTAAATGCGGTACTTATATTCGCTAGCTAGGAAATGCCTCGTTGGTCACGTCATTGCAGAACGAATTTAAAAAATAATATTGAAAAGTTTGCGCTGCGCTCGATATCAGGCCACGTGTTGATGAAAGAATCACTCGCAGTCTAACAGTGCTGGTGATTGTTAAGCTGTTTAAGTACGTAGTACAGTATGTAAAGGCCACAATGTGCCCAGAAGCAGTTT